GCAAATGTCCTACTCCTTGTGGAATCTTTTGCCTTTAAATCCTGTAGTGTCTAGGAAGTTTATTCCTCTCTGAGATATGTCAGCCATGAATTTAATGGTAGGATGATGCCTGTTGGCTTCTAAGATGAAACCATCCATCTCTTCTTTTGTTGTGTCCCTCAAGGAAAAAAAATTATCCATGTATCTTTTCTATTCGAGTGGTTTAGTTTCACTCAGGTTAATGATCTAGGTTGCTACCATGGACATGAAGATGGTGGCAAAAACAACTGCCATTTTAGTGCCCATTGCGGTGTTGTGTATTTCAAGAGAGTCTCTTCCATTGAACTGGAAGGAATTCTCCCGTAATATAAGTCTAAGCATTTCTTTGAACACGTGGGTTGGTGTTGGAGTTTCTTTTTGATAGAATGGTTCTTATACTCTGCATACAGAGTCAATACCCTTGTCTTAAGGGATGTTGGTGTTTAGGGTGGTGACATCCAATGAGTCTATTTTGTGGGACTTTCATCCTCTCTATGGAATTGATGAAATCTTTTGTATCTTTGAGATACGACTTCTGTGATTTTGCTATTGGCTGAAGGATGTAGTGTATAAATGATATTTGTTCTGTCAAGCAATCAACACCCGATATCATAGGTCACCTGACAGGTGTCGGTTTCTGAATCTTCATAAGTGTACACGTATAAAACACTGGGATGCGCAGTGGGTTTGGTGTTTGAGATAGCCAGTTCTTGGTCATATCGTCAATGTGGTTATTACGATGGAGTTCGTTGATGAGATTTTGAACTCTCTGGAATGTATTCTTAACCATAGGTGTTTCAAAAGGCTGGTAATTGTTTCTGTCATCTAGCTGTACCTGGCCTTCTTCAATCTTATCTTTTTTCTTCATTTTGACTATTGTTCTTCTCTTGTCTGCCTCTTTAATGTTTATTTCAGAGTTTGTTTTCAAATCCCTGATTGCTTTACATTTTTTGTGCAGAAGGTTTTGTTTTGGCTTGGATAATTTAATCTCTGCGAGTTCTGTTTTCACTTCCTCTAGAAAATTTTCTAGAGCAACTGATGGTTGTACTCATGGTGCCCAGTCTGACTTAACATAGAAGGGATGAGGCTCATTATATTGCCCATGAAATATCTATTTGAGGCACATTCACCATTCAAATTGTTTGAAGTCTTGTAGAAGTTGTTGCTTAATGTGAGTTTCTTCCATGATTGGTATGGGAATTAATTTTAAACCCTTTGATAATACATTCTTATTGTGCACGGAAGTGAAGAGAACCCTTTGAACACACCTCTCTTGTATTTCTAATAAACCTTGAACAGACCTACAGTACAGCCCAAAAATAATGCAGGCCCAAGAAGACACAAGAACACATAAGCCACCACAAGAAGTAATATTGTCGTGTTTTTGCAGTTTACCCACAAGAACATTCGAAACACAAGAAGTTGAAAGTCCAACCGCAAGAAGTTGAAAATCTAACCACAAGAACTTTTGCGGTTTACCCACAAGAACATTCAAAACACAAGAAGTTGAAAGTCCAACCGCAAAAAGTTGAAAACCTAACCACAAGAACTTATGAATCTTACTGCAAGCTGCAAGAAGGTGCAAGAAGTTACTACAGTGCCATCTTTAGTCCAAATAGAGTCCTGTGGGAATTCCATGAAAAAGCGAGCCAGTGGTCTAAATGTGTTCAGGGAACCATATATTACATCAAAAGTTTGGGTGGCAACTTTGGAACTTGCTCAGATGGGATTTATGGGGGGGTTGAACATGTGACCTGTATATCTCAACATGGAAACAAGGTTCAAACTTAAAATTGTACATAGCTATCCATTATTTGCATAAAATTGAACCAAAATCACCATAATTATGCAAATCAATGTTTCCAATATGAAAATGCGATTTTAAGAGGTTATTGGGGTCA